TCTAAAATTAGAAACAAGGCAAAGCAAAGATACCCACTCTCACTCTGTTGATTTAACTTTGTACTGTAAGGCCCAGGTAGTGAATAAAGCAGGAAAAAGAAATAAAAGGCAGATTGGAAAGGAAGAAGTAAAACTGTCTTATTTGTTGACAATATGACTGTGAATGCAGAAAACTCTAGGGAATTCAGAGAAAAGCTAAGAAAGTCAATTTAGCAAGGTTGCAGTATACAAGGTCAAAACACAAAAGCTAATTGTATTTCTATATAACACCAAGAAACAATTTAAACAACTCAATTTATAATAGCATTAAGAAAATTAAAATACTTTGGGATAAATTTAACAAAATAAGAATCACACACTTAAAGCTAAAAAATATTTAAAGAAAAATTAAAGAAGACTTAAATAAATGGAGGGATATACCAGGCTCATGGATTGGGGGACCAAACATTATTATGATGTCAATCTTCCCTAACTGATCTAATATAATTCAAGATAATTTAAAAGTTTATATGGAAATGCAAAAGAACCAGCATAGCCAAAACAATTTTGAAGAAGAACAAAGCTGGAAACCCATATTGATCTGATTTTACGACTTGCTATAAAGCAATTATTAATCAACATAATGCCATAAGGATAGACATATCAATGGAACAGAGGGTCCAGAAATAGACCCACACTTATATGGCAAATTAATTTTTGTAAAAATGTCAAGGACGTTCAAGAAAGTCTTCAACAAATGGTGCTGGGGCAACTGGCCATCTGTAGGGGAAAAAAAGAGGAAGTGTTGACAAGGATGTGGAGCAACTGGATGTTAATTTGTTGCTCTTGGGAATACAAAATAGAACAGCCACTTTGGAAAACATACACAGTACCTTATGAAGTTAAATATATATTTCACTCCCAGAGAAATCGAAACGTAAGTCTACACAACAGTGTGTATGTAAATGTTCATAGCAGCACTATTTGTAACAGCCAAAAGTGGAAGCAACCCAAATGTCTGTTAATTGGTGAATAGATAAATTGTTTACCCATGGATGGACTATGGTATACTGCTCAGCAACAAAAAGAAACAAATCACAATATAACATGGATGAATCTTAAAACTGTTAGGCCAAGTGAAACGCTTCAAATACAAATGGCTGCTTACTATATATTTCCATTTATATAGAAGGCTAGACAAGGCAATGAATGCTCTAGTGACAGAAATACCAGTAGTTGGCTGGGGTCAGGGTGGGGGGAGGGATTAATTAATCTTAGGGTAAGGGAATTGTTCTGTATCTTGATTGTGGTAGACGTTACCATGATTGTTTGAAATTATTAACATTCAGCAAATTTTTCACTTAAAGTAACTGTATGTAAATAATTTAAAATACAGGAGTTCTTGGGCTTCCTTGGTGGCGCAGTGGTTGAGAGTCCGCCTGTTGATGCAGGGGACGCGGGTTCGTGCCCCAGTCTGGAAAGATCCCACATGCCATGGAGCGGCTCGGCCCGTGAGCCATGGCTGCTGGGCCTGCGCGTCCGGAGCCTGTGCTCCG